ACTTGAAAAATGTAACTCTTCATACATAATTCTCTGCCTTTGCCTGGATTCTGGACTGTGTTTCAGCAGCTTATTGATGAACCCATCACTAAGATGTGCCAAAATTCATAATTACTGGATAGTTTTTGCGCCGTTTTGACTTCATAACAAATGAACTGTGGTCAGAAAGCTTAGCGAAAATCTAGAAAAGTTCAAACCATACCTGATTTAATTTTACTAGAGCCACAGAGTCTTAATCTTGTGATATTACAGCAAAATTCAGTCCGTAAACTGATCCTAGGGGAATAAATTCATGATTCATGCTTAAGTAAACAACGGTCGTGCTGTGCCAGTTTTCTGTTTTCCAAGCTTCGGGTTTTTCTAGTGAATCGTAATGTTTGGTTTATGGGTTGTAGCCATATGTTCATGTATCGATTACCTTCCACTTATCTAAAGTTGAGTCACAGTGGAAATGAGCTAAGCACAGTAATCCAAAAAATCATTCTTCCTGGCACTTTCCAATTCTTCCTGGTAGACCTCAAGGCATTCCCCGACCAGCTGAAATCTAACCTCCTCAGTGTGTTCCGGGTCTACCCGGGATCTCCTCACTAATGGACATGCTTGTAAAACCTTTTGAAGGGATGCACCTGCCCAGAAGGCATCTTAACCAGATCTCTGAAGCACTTCTTCATGTTGAAAAAAGGCAGTTGGAGCGGCTCGCTTCTGATATCAGCGTTTCTCACCCTACCGCTAAGCCCGACCCCAGCATCCTTAAGAAGAATCTCATCATGGCTTCTTGAGCTTGTGACCTCATTTACATTCATTCTGTTATTACGACTATAAGTGAGTAGTGGAACATAGGCTGGTAAAACTGAAAGCTTCACTTTTCAACTCAGCTCTCGACCTGCATCTCCACCTCAAGAGCCTTGTATAATGTCTGCATTGTTGCTGATGCAGCACCAACCTGCCGTCCACCTGACGTTTCACCTTTGCTTTTTTTTAATCCATAGAGAACCATGACGTCAGTGTATGATGCTGGTGTAGCTATGTTTTGGATGTTGTTTCTGGAACTGGAAAATGAAGCCAAAGCACATGTGCCTTTGACCTGCAAGTCACAGAACTGTGACATCACAGCAACATGATTGGTCAGTTGCAGTGGTGGATCTGGAGTAACATTAACTGTGATCATGGAGGAAAACCATCGACGTGATATCTGATGCACTGAAATGTCTCAATGAAGTTTTTCTTTTTCACAAGTGCAGTATTGCAGTGACTGAATGAAGAGCATTCAAAACAATCCTCTGGATGTTTGCTGCCTTTTGTTCTGTTCTTGGTCGATAAAATGATCCCACACTGCTTCAATAGGACAACTGTGTGTGTGTTTTTTTTTATGGTTTTACTGGATTGGCAATGTTTCTGAGATCATTTTTCACCAGCGTTCCCGGGGGTATTCCATGGTGGATCCAAATCTGATGTTGCTTTCATAATTAATTATGGCAAAATCCCTGAGATCACTGGCTGCAATGACAGAGACAGTTTTACAGATGGCCTTAGAAACTCACTGTTATACCTCTCTCCTGACCTCCTCCTGTCCATCCGCCAATAATATCAACCAAAAAATTTAGTTTGAGAACATTTCAGCAGATGAATCAACTAATGGACCAGATGGATCTCAAAGGCCCTGCACCAGCTCTTTGTTGTTGTTGTTTTTTTCCTGTTTCTTAAGGAAATACTTTAAGATACTGTTTGTCTGAGGTACTGTTGTTAGGCCTGCCACATCATTTTTTAACAACACACGGTACACCATGCTGACAGATGCCAAATGTTTGGCTCTTTAGGAATCACCATGACGGTGCTAACGTACTACTTTTATGTGTTTCTAATTATTATGACTGGCATTTTTTGGGGAAATTCAACTAAAGAAATAAAAACAAAGGTTTGGGTTTTTTTGCCCAATTTTTTTTTTTTTTTTTAAACTTGGCTTTGTTAGGTTGCCTCTTATAAGTAGAAACAGTATTGGTTCATCCTTTCAGTAAGGTGCTTTTTGTGGCTGAATGATTCATAAGTCAGTGTTAAGTGGTTTAAAAAATAAAATTTAATGTTCAATGTTCATGTACAGGGACGACATTGAAAATGAATGAAAAAGCAGCCAATGTGTAGAAAAATCCCCTGAAATATATTCAGAAAACCTGGAGACGGCTTTAACAACTTAGAGGAAAGTCTGGATTCTTGGAAGAAAAATATAAAGGAATTAAAAGAACTTTTCTTGCACTACTGTATTTTTAGTTATTTCGGTCCAATAAAAACAAGTACAGTCACATTTTCAGAGTTCATTTAGTATCACATCTCTTGAGATGCTTTAGTTTGAACTGGCAAGTTATAGCTTTCAGTACACTGGTTGCATCAGCTCTAAATGTAATTAAAACAGACTTTAATGAGCCATGTGTTTTGTGTGTTACAGTTTCTCATGCGCAGACTCCCCACAA